GTTGTCCCATCTCTCCAAGCTAATCTGTATTGATTCCTGGCATACTGTGCATAATCTATATTGTTGGTAAATTGCTTAATTGGCTTATCATCCAAGTGATATAGTTCTGGACTCCACAGAAAAAAGAGGAAGAAGAGAAATCTACTTCTGCATCTTCTACTGTCTTCCCCTCCAAGGGAAGGGAAGGGAAGCTCAACTATAAATACTCAACTATGCCACAAAACTGCACCAGAACACAGACAGAGTTCTGACTCCTGTCCTCTGAAGATGCCAGCCACACAGACTGGCAAAACATTAGGAAGAAAAATATCAAGAACATGGCCAGACAGCCCAAAAAACCTAGAACAACCAGCGGATCCCAGCCATGAAAGCCTTCGATAATAAAGTAGGAAAATACTAGGAAAATATTTTGTTCCAACATTTCTGTTATATCAAGCCAATATTTCAAACTTGGTGAAGGAAGGATCTAGTTAATATTACACCCTCCTCCACAATATTTTCATATGGCTTGTCTTGTATATTTGCACACATGCATGTGTGTATGCATTAGAAACGCTCTCTGTTTTGGCAAGGTCTGTTCCTGCACTTTTACAAACAGTGGCTCGGCAGAATTTTATTTATTTATTTACAAGATTTGTTTTAGCTGCACCATTACCAATGGTCTCTTTCGACCTCTTTGAAAAAGATTCTCTGCATTCAGCTCCCGCTGCAGAATCAAAGAAGAGAACCAGGCAAATTGGCTCCATTAGAACACACAGTTTCTTATCCAGCAGGATATGCACACATAATGCTTTTATTTACACAATGCCTTTATGTTGATCAGGGCCTCACTGTGTTTTGTCATACCATATAATTATTGCATAGTAACTGACCACAGCAAGAGATCATGAGAAATGTCTTTTCTTTAAACTAATTTCCTCAAACAATAAGGAAAGAGATTTCAGTGAGCATACCAGGAAAAACATCAGTAGTCTTTGTCAATCATGTTTAATAGCAAAGTAACCACTATTTTTTCCAGGAAGAGGGAACAAAGCAGGTTACCTTCATTATGTTGCAATGTTGATTCAAACCAGTGTACCTGACCATTCAAATGCATATTTCAGTGAAACAGCAGAGAATTTTTCTGCTAACAGAATCGTCTGGATGTTAGCCAACAGTGCATTGGAACTACCCTTATTTGGTCCTACTTTTTGAAATGCCATATTTTTCAGAGTATAAGACACCCCCCTACACTTTTCTAATCCAAAATTAAGAAATCCAAGTGAGGCTTAGCAAGTGTAGGGGGAAATGGATAAAAGTGCTGCAGAATCGCTTTGATCCCTGCTTTCCCCTCCACCTGTTTTTGTTCTCTCCTCAGCTTTCTTTCATGCATAAGACGACCCTCAATTTTTAGTCTAAAGATTTTAGACAAAAGTATAGTCTTATACATGGAAAAATATGGTAATATTTACGAACATTAGTGCTTTTAAAAAATATTTACATTTCAGGGCTTATGAACTTCCTTTTCACAATAACTCAAACTTTTACCGATTTGATCCCATTTCACTCATTGTTTCCCTGGAATGCTGGTGTCCATCCCAGCAGATGCCAACATATGAAGTGTTCAGTCAGATTTTTAATTAAAAGGGTATTTTGCTGGTAAGAGAACACTGACATATGACATTTGAAAACCAGTTAGTAACAATTCCAGGGACTCAGAAGACATTCTCAAATCCAAATGGATTTGTACTTCAGATTAAATGCCCCAATCCTTCCTCCCAGAGAAACTGGCATGCAGTCAGGTCTGTGAGCTTGTTATAACTGCTTTTGGTACAAGTGGTATAATAACCTGCCTTGCTTTGCTTCTGAGAAAAAAGGTGGAATAGAAACAAACAAGCAAACATATTCTCTGACATTGAGGCTTCTCCTGTATTTCTGGCTACTTGGACAGTTTAATTTATTTTAAAGTTATTCACATGGTATAAAATAGCTACCTGTTTCAGTATTCTGATTATCCCAAGAAAAGTATAGGCTCAGCTATCCATGTTCACCTCAACATTGTTCACACTTTGCTTGACATCATTGTCACAAGATGCCTTTACACACTTTCTTACACCCTAATTGTCCTATGGGAAGCCTGATTCCTAAATTTTTAAAAATAGCAGCAAGAAACTGGCTCCCTCTCCAGCAAGATTCAGTTGCTGAATGGGCTAACAATGGAAGGAAGTGTTAGACTGACGAATGTAAGTAACAGAATTATAGCCGCTGTATTTGTCTGTCACAGGAATAAGCACATTTTCCGTCTGCTCAGAAAGGAAAACTTTATTCGTTTACTAAATATGGCTGCAGATCATAGAAATAAGGAAGTTTCATGCAAGTATTGATTTTTAAAAAATAATTGGAAAGAATTACATGGAAAACACATTTAACAACAATGTATTAAACAATTTGCAAAAATATTGTTCAGCCCTGTAGCTGATTATGATAGTTGTACAGCAATACTGAGATCTAGACACTACAGTATTAAAGCAATTATATAATTGTAATTTTAATTATGAAGTGGTAAGTAGCTTGCATGAGCAACTGTTTCTGGAGTCTTATTTTATTTCTGTGACACATTTGCATGAAGCCGGGCATTGTCGCGTTACAGGAATGCCACACCCACGTAATTTCTTCAGTTCAGAACAATTGCTGTATCTATCTGTATACTTGCATAGATTGGCTAAAAATGAAAATGAAAAAAGAAAAGAAAAGGTGGAAAACAAAATACAGCTGTCATATAATGTATGTTGTATGAAAACAAAACATTACAAAAGCATCTCCAAAGGAGTCCATGGCATGATATCAAAGGCCCATCACATCCATCCATATTCTGTATTCCGCACTAGCAAAACCCATAATCAGACCATGAAAGCAACACTTCAGCAGTTTCTTAGAGGAACACAGTTCTGAACATTCTGAGAGATTAGCACCCCTTTACATTTTTATCATTGACTATAATTATGGGAACTTTACATTTTTGATCTGTGACCAGGACCACCACTTTCCTTGGCTTTAAAAGACCAGGTGCCCAATGCCTGTTGTGATCCTGCCAAAACATTTCGAGGGGTAAGAAATAGAGTGCCTACTCTTAAACGTTTGCAGCAGTGAATTTCAAGAGGACATGCCAAATTCTCATATACATAGAGTTGTGTACTGTATTTTTCCATTTACAAGATGACCCAAAGTATAAGACGACACCCCCTTTCCTAACCCCCAAATCAGAAAATTTGTATGCTTGCACCCCTTTGATCCTCCCGCCCTTTCCCGGCTGCGTTTCCCACTTCCTAAGCCCTGCGGAGCTTAGGAAATGGGTAATGCAGCCATGAAAGGGCAGCACGTGCCCGTGCTCCTTTGATCCTGACACCCTTTCATGGCTGCTTCAGGATCAAAGGGGTGCGAGTGTGCTGCCCTTTCACAGCTGCTTTACTCTGTGGCTTCGCAAAAGGCAGGGAAAGTGGCTGCCTGCCAAGTATAAAACGACCCTCAATTTTTGATCTAATTATTTAAGTTAAAAGTCTCATTTTATACACAGAGAAATGTGGTATTTCCCCAGCTCTCTCCGTGTAGGCATCCTTCAGTCTCGAGAGACTATGGTAACGTGCTCTGTATGAAGGTCTTGGAACAGTGTCTTGTGTGGCTGAGAAGGCCAATTCGAGAGTGACAATCCCTTCCACATTGGAGACAAATCCAATCTGTCCCCTGTCCAGCTCCCTGGTTTTGCTTGTTTCAGGACTGCCTCTTTGCCTCGGCCTGCTGTACAAGTGTCTCTTCAAATTGGGAGAGGCCGTGATGCACTGCCTGCCTCCAGGCTGAACGCTCAGACGTCAAGGTTTCCCATCTGTTGAGGTCCATTCCTAAGGCTTTCAGATCCCACTTGCAGATGTCCTTGTAACGCAGCTGTGGTCTCCCTCGGGGGCGGCTTCCCTGCACTAATTCTCCATACAGGAGATCTTTTGGAATCTGACCATCAGCCATTCTCACGACGTGCCCAAGCCAACGTAGACGGTGCTGTTTCAATACATTTTATACACAGAGAAATACGGTATTTCCCCAGCTCTCTCCAATGCTCTGGATTTCTGTGGCAGAGGAAAAGATCCTCTGAAGGTAGAAAGATTGGGGGAATAAGATGGTAAACCCTAATTCCAGGAGGTGCTCATGGACCAGGACATGCAGAGGTTATCTGGATAGTGTCACAAGGCCATGAAAGGGCACACAATATTTGCTAATAAGCAAGCATTATTTATTTATATAGTTTATATTCTGCTTTTCTTCTAATGCAAGGAGCCAAAGACTCTTTAAAAATAGTTTTTAAAAAACCCCAAGTATGTCTAAAAACAAGTCATGTATCATTCTAAAATCCCATCTGTTGAGGTCCATTCCTAAGGCTTTCAGATCCCACTTGCAGATGTCCTTGTAACGCAGCTGTGGTCTCCCTCGGGGGCGGCTTCCCTGCACTAATTCTCCATACAGGAGATCTTTTGGAATCTGACCATCAGCCATTCTCACGACGTGCCCAAGCCAACGTAGACGGTGCTGTTTCAATAACGTATAAATGCTGAAAATTCCAGCTCGTTCTAGGCCAGCTCTCTCCAATGCTCTGGATTTCTGTGGCAGAAGAAAAGAACCTCTGAAGGTAGAAAGATTGGGGGAAATAACATGGTAAACCCTAATTCCAGGAGCTGCTCATGGACCAGGACATGCAGAGGTTATCTGGATAGTGTCACAAGGCCATGAAAGGGCACACAATATTTGCTAATATGGAAGCATTATTTATTTATATAGTTTATAATCGGCTTTTCTTCTAAAGCAAGGACCCAAAGACTCTTTTAAAATAGTTTTTAAAAAACCCAGGTATATCTAAAAACAAGTCATGTATCATTCTAAAACTCAAACATATTGTTGTTTTACAACAATCACTGAATTAAAACATTGTAAAACATGACAGCATCTAACATTGACCTCAGTGGCCTGTTCATTTCTCAAAAGTCTCTATGAAAATAATGATGTTTGGGATTTTTGTCTCCTGGTAGTTCATCTTTCTCAAACTTACTGCACAATCCATTGTCACAGGCATTTGGACAATCTCCACACGGTTCTCCTTTATTATAGGGGGTCTTAATCTGGTCTACATGGTTCCCTCTGGAATGTAAATCAGAAGTACAGAACATGCAGTGAGCACTATATATAGGCATCCAGGGATGTATGTCAAAGGGTAGGAGCCATCAGTGGAATGATGGCCTCATTAAAATACTCATATTGCCCATTTAGAAAATACAGAGATGAACAACAACTCCTAAAGTCAGTCTTTTGCCTCCACATAGGGGTGAGGAATAGGAAACTAGGGGATTACAGGATTAGCTGGTGGCTGCATGGTTTATAAGAGGTATTTTATGAAGCTCAAATGGTAGCTGCTTAAGGGGACAGAAAAGGGATATTTTGCTCTGTCTCCTTACTTGCAGAGGATTTGAGCTTCCTTTTAGCAAATATTCAGATTTTGTCTGCACTACATCAACTTCAGTTCTGCTTTACCTCTTTTTGACTCTGTGTGCACATCTACTCTGAGCAAGGATTGAGGCTTATGGGTTGAGTGTGTTTGGAACACCCGGGAAAATTCCATTGGATGCTTTGTTCATGGAGCACCTCAAGAAATTCATCAATAGTGAAGGCGCCTCAACTGTGTACCCAGTAGCTGGCAGAGGCTGAATCAATGACCATTAGATGTTGGTTTTCTCCCATCCGGGAAAATTCCATTGGAGGCTTTGTTTAATGGAGCACCTCAAGAAATTCATCAATAGCGAAGGCACCTCAACTGTGTACCCAGCAGCTGGCAGAGGCTGAACCAATGACCATTAGATGTTGGTTTTCTCCCAATTTCTCACCCTGCAGATGGGCAAAACCTTTCAGTAAACTGAAGCCAACTTACAGAACCATAGAATAGTGGAAGGGTCCCGTAAGGCCATTGAGTCCAATCTACTGCTCCATGTAGGAATCCAAATCAAGTATATCTGACAGATGGCTGGCTAAATTTCTCATAAATGTCACCAGTGTTAGAGTACTCAGCACCTCCTGAAATAACTGGTTCCATTGGTGTACTACATTGTTAGGGAATTTCTCCTGATAATTCAACCAGTATTTGGCTTCTTGTAACTTGAACCTATTATTACAGGTCCCACACTCTGGGATGATGGAGAATAAATCCCACAATTCCACTGTATGACACTCTCTCAGGCATTTGAAGAGTGCCAACATGTGTCCCCTCAGTCTACTTTTCTCAAAGCTAAAGTACTGTATTTAGTTGAAGTTACTGTCATCTTTGTACATCGTATTGCAGACCCTCATTTATTTCCTCTGAAAAATGAAATCGCCCCCTGGGGGGCATTATTGCCCATGTTAAGAACCACTGGAATAGTGGAAGGGTCTCGTAAGGCCATTGAGTCCAATCTACTGCTCCATGTAGGAATCCAAATCAAGTATATCTGACAGATGGCTGGCTAAATTTCTCATAAATGTCACCAGTGTTAGAGTACTCAGCACCTCCTGAAATAACTGGTTCCATTGCTGTACTACTCAAACAGTTAGGGAATTTCTCCTGATAATTCAACCAGTATTTGGCTTCTTGTAACTTGAACCTATTATTACAGGTCCCACACTCTGGGATGATGGAGAATAAATCCCACAATTCCACTGTATGACACTCTCTCAGGCATTTGAAGAGTGCCAACATGTGTCCCCTCAGTCTACTTTTCTCAAAGCTAAAGTACTGTATTTAGTTGAAGTTACTGTCATCTTTGTACATCGTATTGCAGACCCTCATTTATTTCCCGGCGCCATGGTGAATTTAAATGTATCTTCCACCCATGGTTACAGATGTCCCAAGCAAAGGATCTTGCAAATTTTCCAGGCCCCAATTCAAAGCCAGATGAGAAGCTTTGTGAAAAGCTATTATAGAATCATGGAGAAGCTCTAAAATATGTTTTTCTAGTCCCAGTATTTCACGGGTGGAAGAAATGATAACAACAAGGGAAGGAGCACTGAGAGATTCTAACCGTGGGAAGATCTTTATGGATTTCCCAAAGGATCTTCTGCTTAAGTACAGCCTTCAGGCCTTTGCTACCCACTGCTGTAGTATTGTTGTTTTTAATGGACAGTGTGTAGGAGAGATGTTGACACATGCCAAAGAATATGTGTGGGTTTATTAGAGACCAATGCTAATAAGTAAGCTTACTGACTGTTTGATGTTCTCTACCTAAATACAATACAGTGGTGCCTCGACTTACGACCATCCCTACTTATGACCATTTTGAGTTATGACCAGCTCCAGCCGCAAAATTTTACTTCTACTTGCAACCAGAGCTTCCACTTAAGACCAAAAAAAGGCAGGAGAAAAAGGTGGGAAATTCAAAATTCTAACCGTTGGTGGTGAAGAGGCTGCTTCTTTGTAGCTCTTTTGCCCCAATGGTTAGGGAAAGGGATGTAGTGGTGAGGGGAGGCAGGGGCAGGGGCATCCCTTGGCACTCCTCACTGCCCTCCACAGGGCCACTGCCGCTGCTGCTGCTGGGTCCTGGCCCTGCGGGACCAAGGACTGAGTGCAGCCTGCCAGGAAGGAGGAGGCAGTGGCGCAGGAGGACCCTTCCTCCAGGATCAGGGCCCGCTCTGCCCCCATGCCGAGGACTGGGAGCCAGCAGCAGCAGTGGCATTGACCCTGCGGAGGGCAGCGAGGAGCCCTGATGACCAGTCCAGAAGGCGCCCGCTGATGGAGAAGGAGAGCCACCCTCATGCCCTGCAGGAAGGAGAGGCTCCTCCTGGCTGGGACCTCCGGCCGCTCGCTCCGGCCTCGCCCTCCACCATGACTGGCCCTGCCTCCGCCTCCTCGGCTGCAACCGAGAAGTGAGTGCCATTGGAGGAGGCTTCGGACTGTCTGGCAAGGTAAGGTGCTGTTTTTTCCTTTTAAAAAACTGCTCTGGGTGGGTTTTGGCTGGGTGGGGGTTGTGTTTCTGTGATGTTTTGTTGTTTTGTTTTTTGGGTTTTTTTTGTTGCAGTCCTATGGGGCTTGCAGTGTTTTATTTTTATTTTATTTTGGGGTGGGTGTTTTTTTTGGCCGGAACAGATTAATCACGTTCCCATTCATTCCTATTGGAATGCATGCTTCGACTTAATGACCATTTCGACTTACATTCCATCTTCTGGAATGGATTATGGTCGTAAATCGAGGCACCACTGTATATTTTCCCCTTCAAACAATTTACTCCAGAGATGGGGATATTCATATTCATTACGAATATCCATGCCCCAGGCACACTTAATGTATGTCTGGCCCTCGGAAGTAGCTCCGCTGTTCCCTGGCTCAGCTGACCACTGACCGTTTCGACTTACCTTCCATCTTCTGGAATGGATTATGGTCGTAAATCGAGGCACCACTGTATATTTTCCCCTTCAAACAATTTACTCCAGAGATGGGGATATTCATATTCATTACGAATATCCATGCCCCAGGCACACTTAATGTATGTCTGGCCCTCGGAAGTAGCTCCGCTGTTCCCTGGCTCAGCTGACCACCCAGCAGCCATGAGGGGAGACTTGTCCTCCTGCCCTCTGCCTGGAGTGGCCAGCCAAGCCAGGAGATGGTGGAGTTACTTCTGTGATTGGTGGAAAGAGTGGGACACTGGAGGCGTGGTTGCATGTGAGTGAATGGGCTGGTTCCGAGGGCTGCACCTGCATTAGGTGCACCTGGGACACAGATACTCATGTTTATTTATGAATATCAATATCTCCATCTCTAATTTACATCAAATTTTGTTTCTTGCTTAGTTCAGAAAGCCAGTATCAGGAGTGTGACATTGTGGACAACATTACAAGGAAGCAGAAAGCCATTCTGAAAAGAAACAACCTTAGAGCTGTAATATTGTTTTTGCTCTTGGATTCAGAAAGGATGTATTGCATTTCCCAGAACACCACTGGTGTTTGTGTAAAGTTTGTGCCACTTGCTGTAGTTAATTGGCATGGTGCTGGGGCACATCTTGCTTGTGCAATTGGATGCATGACCGGGCATGTGTCTGAGAAGCAGTACTATGCCTAGGTACAAGCTACTCAAACTTTACATAAACACCAGTAGGATTCGAGCCACTGTCAGAGATTATACACAGCTGCATATTATCCTCCCAATGCATTATAATCATATTGATTAAACATATACTTGGCAGGAATATCTCAGTTTTTTTTTTCCTGCACTGCCCTTCAGCAATAACTGTACAGTAAAAAAATTATGTTAGTGATCATCTCTATGAAAAAGTGCTTGGGTAGGAATTCTACAATATTTGCATGTTACAAGTGAAGAGAACAGGCTTGCCAAAAAGCAGTAATTAACTGAATGAATACATACGCAGGACAATACTGGCAAACATAAAGATAGACGCACTGACCAGGACAAAAGGCAAGAGCACATCCCACTTGGTAAGAGTTATGCCACACTACCTGCAGAGACACAAATGAACATGGACATGATCACCCTGCATCTCAAAGGCAACCTCCAGGTAATCTAGGGAATATTATTGTACCATTCTTGCTCAGGAATGCAATACACATCTGTATTCCCAGCTGCAAACTACTCCTCTCAGTTCAGGGAACAAGCCCTTGTAGAACTTGAGTGATTGATGGGGGGGGGGAGTTTTGGTCAAATACATCAGGGGATGTTTTTCTGTGCAGCCCTGGTCCATTCTGCTTAAGCTGGTATGAGCATAGTACAACTGGCCCCTAAACTAACAAGCTTGCTGCAATGCCATATTGCATAGAAATGCATCAGCTTAGATTGTGGTCTATCTATATAGTGGAATATTTCTATTCTGAAGAGTCCCTGAAGATGTGTTTTCAGATGACGGCATATGACAAAAAAGTAAACAAAATGCAGGGGGCTACTGTTGCCAACAGAGAAGTGCCAGAACAGCCATGACTCAAAGAGGTTGTATGGTGATGCTTTAGCTAGCACAGCTAGATTTGACAAGTATTGCATGTAAACACTTTCAAGAAAGCTTGCCATGTTTTTATTAAAAAAAGGTACAATTTTGCTTCACTCAGGCCACGGTCACACTAGAGAAATGCCCCCCTTCTTTCTCTACTGTTGCCAACAGAGAAGTGCCAGAACAGCCATGACTCAAAGAGGTTGTATGGTGATGCTTTAGCTAGCACAGCTAGATTTGACAAGTATTGCATGTAAACACTTTCAAGAAAGCTTGCCATGTTTTTATTAAAAAAAGGTACAATTTTGCTTCACTCAGGCCACGGTCACACTAGAGAAATGCCCCCCTTCTTTCTCGCCTCGCATATCACACTTCTTTCTTGCATCTTCTGCTTCCGGTATAGTCACACTTTGTGGTCATGTGACATATATCCTGTGATAATGGTTCATCCTTTTAAAAAAACTGTTCTGTTTTTTGGGGGGATGAATTAGATGTGGTATGTTCATCTATACCTCTCAAGCGGGACATGTCCCCTTCCTTTTCTTGTGCCTTTCTCTGCCCCCTTTCCTTTAAAAAAATTGTGTGGGTACATTGACGTGTCAGCAAAATGCCCTTGGTGGCCATGTACTGATCAGGGCCATTTCTTCCTAGATCTGTGCTTTGTTATGTATTGGAAGCCGCCTAGAGTGGTCTGGTAATCCAGACAGGCGGGGTATAAATTAAATTAAATTAAATTAAATTAAAACAAACAAACAAACAAACAAATAAACAAATAAATAAACAAACAAATAAATAAATAAAATAAATAAATAAATAAATAAATAAATAAATAAATAAATAAATAAATAAATAAATAAATAAATAAATAAATAAATCCTCTATGGAGGAGAATCCACAACACACTGCAGTGGTGATCAAAAGACAGTAGGGGGACTGATGCTCTGTATTTGACAGAATTATACCAACACCCTGACATTGCTGTTTGAAAATTAATAAAAAAACAATTAAGGGAGCTGAACAGCAGCGGGTTATGGAGATGGATAGGAAGTGAATTTGTTTTGAAGTGCACACTCAATGGGATGTCGCTTGTACTGTGCAAGGAAACACGGAATAAATGTAGTAGTAGCCTCCCAGTGGACTGGATGCAGAGATAGCACAGAGGGGGAAACAAAAGAATTGATAATGGCCGTGCTTCATCCAAACAAACAAACAAACAAACAAACAAACAAACAAACAAACAAACAAACAAACAAACAAACAAACAAACAAAAACAGTAAAAACATTAATGAGGAATAACTCAGAAACATTTTTATTGGTGTGACCACAGCCTTAGTTTTATTGTACCTGTGTGTAAACACCAATCTTTCAATTTGGTGAGGTTGCTCCAGAGCCATATCGAAAGTTTTTTATGTTATCATACCAACTTTGAATAACATTGGACCATGAGAGAGATATACTTGATGTGAAGATATTTTCACCACACTGTATGCCATCTAGAATTAGGAAAAAAAAATTAGTCACACAAATGTGAATGCTTGGAAACTTCTGTTAAGGACAGTTATGCCATGGAGTACTGAAGATGTGAGTTGAGGAGAAGGACGCAAAGGAGTGATATAAGGATGATGTGCTTGCGAAGGTTATAAGTACATCTAGTTTGTATTCTGGTGTTAAGGATTAACGTATGTGTGTGACAAAGGTCTTTGGGGCCTACCCGGTTCTAAAGAAAGTAGCACTGGATGTTTCTTTGTTGTAGCGTTGCTACAGCAGGAAAACAGTCTTCCAGGACACCACCAGTGCCCATGTGGGGGAGGATTTGCTGCAGTCCAAAGAAATGGCATACACCATAAGAAGCAAGATTTAGGCTGAATATCAGGAGAAACATCTTAACTGTTAGAGCAGCATGACAATGGAATCAATTACCTTGGTAGGTGGTGAGTGCTCCAACACTGGATGCATTGAAGAGAAAATTGGACGACCATCTGTCAGATACACTTTGATTTGGATTCCTGCATCAAGCAGGAGATTGGACTCAATGGCCTCATAGGCCTCTTCCAACTGAGTTATTCTATGATTCTATGATAAAAGTGTCCCAAGGAAAGCAACTTGCAGACTTTAAGGATGGGCAAGGGTGAAAGTGTTAGAATGGTTTAAAATCAGTTTAAGGCTTTTAAGATAGCAAAGTGTGGTGTTGTTGAAAGAATGCTGCCTCTGTACTCCAGCTGCTGTGCAGCTAGGAGATAGGGGGAGCATCCCCTCTCTCCAGTAAGGGAAAGGACAGACATTGTGAGTCATGCAGACACCTCACAGTGTGGGTGTCATCGGAGGTGGACTGCAAAGCTTTATGGGCTTGTTAGTGAGTCCCATAGGGTGCCATAGGGTGATTGGATGCCCTGTTTAAGTACCACAAGATGTGGGATTCAGGGGCACAGACAGAGATGGCCTCAGGCTTCAACCAGCCTCATGGGACTGGTGAGAAATGGGCCTGAGAATGTCTTCCCAGTTGAGATAGCTGGGGCAACTCTGGTGAAGCACAGCAGGGCTCCAGTGTTAGGGAGTCTTCCAGTTCAGATTTCTAAGTATCATGTACAACCACTATAGGTTAGGGCGAATTAAAAGAGTTAATAAAATTGTGGTTGAAGTTGAAATCCATATCTTGTGTCTAACCTGTTTATTGGTTTTAGGGGGCAATGGCCCCTCATAGTCCCAACATTTCCCTAGCCCATCTCATCTCTACAAGGTGACGTTTAAAATGTGGATCTGTCAATCATTCAGTCCTGCTTCATATGCTTCCTATTATCCTGAGATTTTTACCAGAATGAGACCTAAAAGATGGCTAGGATGCAACTTCATCTGGGGTGTACTGTTACACAACTGAGTCTTTTTTTCCTATCTGTGAAGTGTTGGAAGATATGCAGTGTCCTCTTTAAAGCTATAGATCATCCTGCAAATGGATTGGGGATCTCACAATTCTATCAGTACATAAAGCTTCATCATATACAGTATATCACAGAAGTGAGTACACCCCTTCAGATTTCATAAATATTTTAGTATATCTTTTCATGGGACAACACTGAAGAAATGACATTTGGCTGCAATGTAAAGCAGTGAGTGTACAGATTGTATAACAGTGTAAATGTGCTGTCCCCTCAAAATAACACAACACACAGCCATTAATGTCTAAACCATTGGCAATAAAAATGAGTATACGCCTAAGTGACAATGTCCAAATTGGGCACAAAGTGTCAATATTTTGTGTGGCCACAATCATTTTCCAGCACTGCCTTAACCCTCTTGGGCACAGAGCTCACCAGAGCTTCACAGGTTGCCACTGGAGTCCTCTTCCACTCCTCCATGATGACACCACAGAGCTGGTGGATGTTAGAGACCTTGCACACCTCCACCTTCCATTTCAGGGTGCCCCACAGATGCTCTATAGGGTTTAGGTCTGGAGACATGCTTGGCCAGCCCATCACCTTTACTCTCAGCTTCTTTAGCACAGCAGTGGTCGGTTTGGAGGTGTGTTTTTAGAGGTCGTTATCATGTTGGAATACTGCCCTGTGGCCCAGTCTCCGAAGGGAGGGGATCATGCTCTGTTTCAGTATGTCACAGTACATGTTGGCATTCATGGTTCCCTCAATGAACTGTAGCTCCCCAGTGCTGGCAGCACTCATGCAACCCCAGACCATGACACTCCAGCCACCATGCTTCACTGTAGGCACACCACACGTGTCTTTGAACTCCTCACCTGGTTGCTGCCACACAGGCTGGACACCATCTGAATCAATTGAGTTTATCTTGGTCTCATCAGACCACAGGACATGGTTCCAGAAATCCATGTCCTTAGCCTGCTTGTCTGCAGCAAACCATATGTGGGCTTTCTTGTGCATCATCTTTAGAAGAGGCTTCCTTCTGGGACGACAGCCCTGGAGAACAATTTGATGCAATGTGCAGCGTATGGTCTGAGCACTGACAGGCTGACCCCACCCCACCCCTTCAACCTCTGCAGCAATGCTGGCAGCACTGAGGCGTCTATTTCCCAAAGCCCACCTCCGGATATGACGCTGAGCACGGGCCCTCAACTCCCTCGGTTGATAATGGAGAGGCCTGTTCTGAGTGGAACCTGTCCTGTTAAACCGCTGTCTGGTCTTGGCCACTGTGCTGCAGCTCAGTTTCAGGGTTTTGGAAATCTTCTTATAGCCTAGGTCATCTTTACATAGAGCAACAATTCATTTTTTTCAGATCCTCAGATACATAGTTCATTACCATGTGGAACCATAGGATGCCATGTGGAACTTCCAGTGACCAGTCTGAGAGAGTGAGAGTGATAACTCCTGCTCCCCCTTTACACCTGAGAATTGTGACACTAACGGGACTCATGACACCAGGGAGGAAAAACAGCTACTTGGGCCGGATGTTGGGAAAGTGTGAAGGCAAGAGGAGAAGGGGACGACAGAGGACGAGATGGTTGGACAGTGTCACCGAAGCTACCAACATGAATTTGACCCAACTCCAGGAGGCAGTGGAAGAAGGAGGGCCTGGCGTGCTCTGGTCCATGGGGTCATGAAGATTCAGACATAAATAAATGACTAAACAACAATAAACAACATACTCACTTCTGTGATATACTGTAGATCATAACTAGAGAAGGGTATATTCATATTCATATACAAATACCCCTGCACTGCTGGACATAATGAGGATCTGGCCCCCTGTGGCCAGACCATCCACTTATGCGTCCACTGCTGCCACTGGCTCTGCTCCCTCTTCCAATTGCTTGGAGCTCACAGTTGGCTAGCCACTCCTGGCAGAAGGAGGGAAACCAAGTCTCCCGGCCAGGCTGACAAGTGGATAGCCGACCGCAAGCTCCAGAGCGATTGGAAGGGAGAGTAGAGCCAGGGGCAGCAGCAGAGGCATGAGTGGATGGTCAGGCCCCAGGGGCCGGACTCTCATTATGTCCCACCTGTGCAGGGGTATTCGTATATGAATGCTCCATCTCTAATAATAACTTTGTACAGATTTCTTTTGACATTTGGAAGCCTTTTATAGAAGAATTATTACTGTACAACTATCTATCTATCTGTCTGTCTGTCTGTCTGTCTGTCTGTCTGTCTGTCTGTCTGTCTGTCTATCTATCTATCTATCTATCTATCTATCTATCTATCTATCTATCTATCTATCTATCTATCTATCTATCTATCTATCTATCTATCTATCTATCTATCTATCTATCTATCTATCAACCACAACTTCATTTTCATTGTCAATCTTTTTCGGTTCCTACCTTTCTTCCTATTTTCCTTCCTTCCCTTAACAAAATAAATTATAAATTATAAAAAAGGTTCACATTCTGATGCAACATCCAGCTGGCAGAATTTAAATGACCCAATCAATTTTTTTCTTTTAATTTTAAACTGAAGTAGAAACAAATCCATAGGAGATATCAACATCTCAGGAAATATTAGACAGTCATACGTTACAACTGAACAGTTTAACTCTCTCAGCAAAATGTATATAGTGTACTAGAGTTTAAATTTTGTGAATATGATTCCTTTACTTACTTAGTTTTCGGGTTTCAGCTGTACCTTGCTTCAAGGTACATTGATTTGCCCAGAGTTGTGCATTACTTGCAATTTCAGAATTCCATTCCTAAATGTCAGAGAGGAATATGTCAAAGAGTTGTGAGATGGGGGAGATTATAAACTGATTAAATAATCTTGGATTGGCATTAATTACATTTAAAGTACAATATTCAGTTTACTTTTGGATTTACCCCTTTAGTAGACTTACTAGAATTTATATAAAATTTTTACAACAAAGTATATTATTTATTAATGACAACAATGATGTGGTGGCACTGCGGGCTAAACCGCAGAAGCCTCTGTGCTGCAGGGTCAGAAGACCAGCAGTCGTAAGATCGAATCCACACGACATAGTGAGCTCCCATTGCTTTGTCCCAGCTCCTCATCAACTTAGCAGTTCGAAAGCATGCAAATCCAAGTAGATAAATAGGTACCACCTCGGTGGGAAGGTAAAACGGTGTTCCCTAGTCATGCTGGCCATGTGGCAACGGAAACTGTCTTTGGACAAGTGCTGGCTCTACGGCTTGAAAATGGGATGAGCACCGCCCCCTAGAGTCGGACATGGCTGGACTAAAAATGTCAAAGGTAACCTTTAGCTTTTACCTTTTATGCTTCCTACTACTAAGTTCTTGCTCTTGTTGCTATTAATATTGATGGGGACAATTATTGTTATATGCTGGCTTGGCTGTAAAGCTCAGTGAGTTGGGAGATTCTGGCTGTTGAGCCAGGAGTCAGGCACTTGATTCCCCATTGTGTCTCCGAAGAGATAAACTAGTCAGTGTAGTCTTAGGCAATGTGCACAGTCCTAGAAGGCTGCCAGATAAAGATACTTTATATCGAGGAAATCCTGGCAAGGGTTGCCATAAATAATAATTGTCTTGATGGCACATTGGTCTCATTCTTATTGTATTTATAGATAATTACAGTTTTGTAAAACCACATTTGTTAGATCCCTCTTCAAAACTCTGTGGAACTCTGATCATGGGATGGTGGTCAAATGAATCCTGTTCTCCTTTCAGCAATCCCAGCTCCATGAAGCCAGTCTAGAGAGTTGGGTGCACTGGTATTGGCATGGGGAGATCTGGAGGGAGAGGGAAAAATCTGCAAAAATTGCTTTCTGCTTTTATCTGTGGGACGCCCACAGCATCCAGTTCCAGGAAGGTTCTGGACCCAAGCCATTGCAGAGCCAGAACTAATATCTAGCACTATGTAACTCATATGTTAGAAACATGTGTTATATTTATATAGATATTGTGTCAAGCCAAATCTGACTTATGGTGATCCTTTACAGGGTTTCTCAGTTAGGGAATACACAGAAGTGGTTTACTGTTCCATTCTTCTGGGGACACTCTGGGACTATGCAGCTTTCCCGAGGCTACACAGGCTAGCTCTTCTCATGGGAGGCACAGTGGGGAATCAAACTCTCAGCTATTGGTTCTGCAGTCAGATACCCAAACCGCTGAGCTATCCAGCCAGCTGTGTTGTCCTTATTGTATTCCAGTTAGGGAATACACAGAAGTGGTCTACTGTTCCATTCTTCTGGGGACACTCTGGGACTATGCAGCTTTCCCGAGGCTACACAGGCTAGCTCTTCTCATGGGAGGCACAGTGGGGAATCAAACTCTCAGCTATTGGTTCTGCAGTCAGATACCCAAACCGCTGAGCTATCCAGCCAGCTGTGTTGTCCTTATTGTATTAAATAAACATACCTAAACCTCATGTTTTTAAAATGATAAATACAGTATTGCCTTTACTGTATTTAATTATCATTTAGAAAAATTGAATGATTTACACAAGTTTATTCAGCAATAGTTCTTTTCTTTCTTCTGTAATCAGGGATATCAAGTGGAATTGGAATAAAACAAATATTTAATTAATATCTATGAGCCAACTAATTTAATGCAGGAAGGCAAACATTTAGAAATGATTACCCTTCAGACAAGCTGGTACTGTAAACAGCAAGGGTGTTTCTCTTGAAAAAAAAAAGACAGAGAAGAAAAGTTTGCAGAGTCCTTATACAGAAAATACTAAAAATGAGTGGGTAATGCCATATTGGATTCCCAGTGTAGTGTAGTGAATAGAATGATGGACTAGGACTCTGGACAGGTTTTGAATCCCCACTTGGCCAAGGAAGCTCACCGGGGGAGTGGTACAACCACTCCTTAAATATCTCACTTACCTTCAAAGCCCTTTTAGGGTTACAATAAGCTGCTTCCAATTTTATGGCACAGAACACACAATACCATTCTTACATTACTCAAGTATAAAAAATGGTCAGCAAGACTCAAAAGCTTGCCTATGAAAAATATATTTTGGACTAACAAAGATATTATTGACCCTTTTTGGATGTGTTGACAAAAGACAAGAACAGTTTAGCAGCAAATGTATTTCCATTAGAGGTCGATTACTAAGTCAGATAAGTCTGCATTTGCACTTAAAATTAGTAAAATGAACTTCCAAAATGTCCATATTCCTAATGGGTCAGCATAACATTTCCTTTTAATGTTTCAGAATACTTCTTACCATCTTCAGCATGTTGCTGGCAGGTGGCTGTACTGATCTTCTCAGACTGTTGTGCTTGTTAACTATCTTCTTCTGCTGGTTGACATTGGTGGTCATAAAAAGCATTGTGATCTGTGGTCTTCAGATAAACAAGGAGACTTGTATAATAGGTTTTTTAAAATACAGAATTAAAGGAAAGATACCAAGGATAAGATAATAGGCTTGATTAGGAAGTGATAGGCTGGGATTGAATCCTCTTCTTAGAATTCACATACAAATCAGAAAAGTCTTACCTGGGCACCAGACTGATGGAGCAGCATGGCAAGAAGACACACATAGAGGCTAAGTGTAGCCATTTCTGAAAAGCAAAGAGAAATTGAAAACAGGTGTTACTCCTGACAACTGCACTTTGAAATAGTTGGATTTCCCCTCCTCTCCAACTTATATGTGGGGGAAATGTTTCAGTGACTCCAGTTTTATTTAAGTTGTTTGGCTCATATATACTGATTCTGAAAGGCTGATTGTTAGGGCCTGTCATAAATCCAAAAGAAACAATTCATCATGTTATAGCTGGATGCCAGAAGGTAGCAACAATGGATTCTACAGTATGTGCAGGAATAACCAAGAAGAAGGGATCATTTTTTCAGCTGTTGGCTATATCGTAAGTACTACTCACGTCTTTCCCTCCATATTACAAATTCCAGCCTCCTCTAGTTTTAGAAAATGGAACCATAATACTGTCATGGAACAAGTGAGTTTTCATGAATAAAATATTTGATTTTAATAAGCCAGATATCATCCTTTTAGATAAGCAACTAACTGAAGTGTACCTTATAGAAGAAGTACAGAATGCACTAAGGCAAGAAATTAAAATAATATGGAAGCAAGATCAGGTCATCCTCCACTCCGTACTGATTTCAGCAGCTGGAGTCCTTCCACAGTCTTTGGCTACTAATTTAAAACAATTATAAATAGCTGTTATTTTGCTTTCTGAATTAAAAAAAAATCAGCGATTTTGTAAACCTATGACTCAAATGTAAATGTTTATGACTTAGTTTTCCGGCTTGACACTTGGGTTTCCCCACAGGCACCAGCAATGCTGAGAAACAACAAGTATTCATCATCATCATCATCATCATCATCATATATACCCAACTATATATATTTAGTTCTTACTGCTCAGTTTGTATTTATCTTCAAAGGTAAGCCACTTAAAGTGCCATTGATGTTGTTGTTGCTGTTATTATGTTCCATCAAGTCAGAACTGACCTACAGTGACTGTAATATGGTTGTCAAGGTAAGTGAGGTATTTTAGGAGTGATTTTACCATTTCCACTCTGAAAGCCAGGAAATCAAATCCAGGTTTCATAAATCCTAGTCCATCACTCTATAAGGTCAATTGATGCTGTCCTGTCTATTGGACATACAGCTTCTAAGGCACGTGATATTTTCCAGTCAAACAAAGTTAAAGGAGAAAAATAGGGCTTCAATCATGCAATTAAAAAAAATCTATTCATAACAAAGAATATCAAAAATATTTAAAATCATTTTGTAAATACATATATCTAAGTTTTTTGCTTTTATAATTCAAAGATCAGAAGAATTCACTTTACCTTTAGATGGATTTTCTTTGGATGTAACTATTTGGTTCTTAGGTACGTGAAAGGTTGATTGTTAGGGTCTGCCACAAATCCAATGAAACACTGAAGTGACACCATACATTTATATCTATGCATATATAAATAGTCATACACATATGCACAGGCATGCCCCAGTTACTCCTTTCTTTGGAAGGTGAGTCACACCAGGATTTATAACTGGTCGTGGGGAAGGATGCAAGGTGTCCATCAGAATGTGTCTTATTTTATGAAACCTGTCTGGCCCTACTGTTGTAAAATGTTGACATTATGGTGTGGGGTGAGACAGCAAAAGACAGCCAGAGAAAGTAATCAGAGATTTTGTCTTCACAAATTTTATGCAAAGCCTATTTCTGTCCCCTTTTTTCCATTGGAAATGGCTGATACCCTGTTGCTCAGTTACACAAATGACGTAACTTTTAGATGCAAATCGCCATAAGATAATAAATATTCGTAAGTATTATCAGTTGCACAATGAGTAGTGTGACTCCATGTGAATCAGATAATGTCTATGGAGATTTTTTAATTTAAAGAAAGCAGTAATGGGTATGTGCATATGTGTATGCATATTTATATAACCATTTAAATATAGATATAGATATAGATATAGATGATATAGATATAGATATAGATAGATAGTGTCATGTCAGTGAAAAACCAATGCCAGTTGCATCAAAAAAAAATTCACTCAAAGAGACAGTGAATTCTTCTGATCTTTGAATTACATATGTCAGTGAAAAACCAATGCCAGTTACATCCAAAAAAAAAAATTCACTCAAAGATACAGTGAATTCTTCTGATCTTTGAATTACAAAAGTAAAAAGTACATAAAAATTATAATTATTCTTTATTTGAAATAGCTTTTAAAATTTAAGAGGGGCTTAATTTCTTTTTATGCATACAACCTGATTGGCTATCAAGCAATAAAGTATTCAAATAGGGGTTTTTTAATTGCTTGGTTTATACCCTGCCTTTCTCTCATAACTTTGTTTAACTAGAGAGCATCATTGTTCTACTTTTTGATTATTTATTTCAGTTAATTGACAGTGGGGGGAGGGAGGGGAATGGAAGGGCATATTTCAAGAACTGCAGTTCACTAGGAGATTGGCTTATTAGCAATATCAAAATATTAATAAACTCTTTTAAAAGTATACTAATGTTGATTGCTAGTATATCAACCAAATAGAGTGGGAATACAAAGAACCATGTTGTGATACTAGGAATTCTTCATACAGCAGCAGTTTTACTTGAACATCATTTATGAAATGCTGAGCTGAATTTTAGCAAGTCTGAATCTGTGCATGACCATGGATCTGTCCTGGTCTGCTTTTGACATGGTTCTGGAGGTAGAGCAGACTTAGGGGCTCTGTGTTATCATATGTCATCAGATCCTTGTGATGACTGAGGCTGCCATTCATTCTTGAAAACATGCTTCACTAAAGATCATGGTCCTTAGTGTCATCCAGTTCAGCTTCAAACTTCTCAGACTCATTTTAATATTTTAATTGCTTTCTTAAACTCTTTGTCCTTCTACAGTTGTGTGGCAGTCATCTGATCTGGAAGTGCAAAGCTTCTTGTATTTATGGCTTTCTGTTTTTCCTTAAATAAGATATTGTTGTAAGTTCAGCAAACAGTGGGTAAATCCATAGTACCCCCTTCACTTAACTGTAGTTTCTTTTCTTTTATCCTATCTGGTTTCATCACACCAGGATATCCAAATACTGTTCTGTGTTGCACATTGTCATGAACCACATTAGGCTTGGCTGAACTCCCAGTTTCTGGGAGGGGTGTTTGTAGTATGGATGTAGTGTGGTTTGGGAAATCTAAGGAGGTGAATGGAGGGGTGAATTTAATTCTGGAGGTGGTTGCAAAAATCTTTTGCTGAAAATGCTTCCCACACCATCTAAGAGGCATGAGTGGGTGGAGTGCCCCTTTTTCTTCAGTACTAGAAGTTACTACTGGATGTCAGCCATTATTGTAACTGCTCCTGCAGTGTAGTAACATTTTTCTTCTTTTAAAGCAGTGATTCCCAACCTTGGGCCTCCAGATGTTTTTGGACTTCAACTCCCAGAAATCCTGGCCAGCAGAAGTGGTGGTGACGGCTTCTGGGAGTTGTAGTCCAAGAACATCTGGAGGCCCAAGGTTGGGGACCACTATTTTAAAGAATAATCTTAATACTTGGTCAGTCTCTGAATTCTGAACATACTGTCGTTGCAATATGGCCACCAATCACAAAGGACTCCCCCCTACCCCAAGAGCTCTGTTCTAGGGTTTTCCAGAACACTGTGCACTTTTTATGGGCACATGAGCTGCCAGTCTCTTTCTGTTTTGGGCATCCTCGTTCAATTGTGTTATTACATTCATTTCCCAGGGCGAGCAGAAGCTTGTGTTAACAGAGCACCACTTCAGGCTGCCTCATATTCAGTGTATTGTTACTGAAGTGGTTACTTTTCCCTCCTTTTATTTTCATTTTCAAGGTTGTATCTCTTTGTCTGGAAGTACCCTTTATTAAACTGTTTACTGCTCAATCCTTCATGTTATAATCACATTTCCAGGGTTACATTTCTTATACTCTTACTCATTTAATACTTTATTCATACAATTCATACAAAATTTCAAACGTTAACAGTCTCCCCCCCCCCCCATGTCTCTCCCGCTCACCCTGATACTGGAGACTGGAATTCTAATGTCAGATAGACATGTGTAGGCTCACTGTCCATTGAGGTTCTGAGACCGAATATCTATGGAACTTTGTCCTCAAAGCTTTGGAGGGGAATTTCTAACCTATCTTTTGACCCCTGGGTGAAATTAGGATTTCACTGATTTTTGATAGCTATGTGTTGTGATTCTCCTGTGAGCTGCTTGGAGAAACCTTTGTTCAGACGTGTAGAATATTAGGCCAATAGAGCCCTGTTACTATTGTGCACTGTAAACCAGAAATTGCACTAGTACAGTGTGTGTGATCTTGCCCACATTGTACAATTTGTTGAACACACGCAGTCACACATCCAACTGTAGAATTTCACAATAAGATTTTCACTTGTCTTTGAAATAATATAATTAAGTATTAATATTTAAATCCTATTGATGTGTGCGGGAAGACTCTGTGTGTGTGTGTGTGTGTGTGTGTGTGTGTGTGTGTGTAGGGGTATAGACATGAAGAACTGATTGTTCAATTAGTTGGGCATTTCAGAAAGACTCAGTCTTGAAAGGATATAGGAAGGGGACAGATGTGAACTGGCAAACTAAAGTACGTCATATGTTTTAGTGTACTGTTTGTAAAAAAGAGGTCCTTTTAAGTGAGAGAGTTAACAGAGATTAGATGAGAGTAATGTTAATGTAATATTGGAGGTAAGTCCAATAGCTAGCTAAGAAGGGATAGCTGGATCGTAGTATTAGAATGAGTAAATCTTGAAGAACTTGAGGGTTGGAGCACATAAGGCCAATAAGCAAGTTAAGGTTACAGCAGGGGAATTACCCTAAAATATCATTATTTATACATTTGGCTAATCATAGTACCTGGACCTAAGAAGAGACTGGAAATGAGAGTAATAGATGAAATGAAAAAGTGTAGATCAGAAGGGGCTATCACTTGAATACATATCGGATAGAAAGAGAAGAAAAATATGGAAGAATTATTGGATTGTTTAGACTAGTAGAAGGGAAATGAGAAATCAGAGTGGGATGGTTGAGGTGGGATATGGGACGGATACCCAACCCCTTGTGTTTGGGATGAGGGATTCCTCGTGGATTCAAGGGGAGGAAAAGGTTTTGTATGGGACATGGAAGAATTACATTTGAATTGGGTAAATAACCTCTTCTTAAAAGATATATCAATTATTTCCTTAAAACGTTTTAACAATTTGGAACTGATATAAGAAACTTTTATTCTGCCAGTTACTCCATTATGCCTTGTTTGCTGGTCCTTGACTGTAATAAAGTTATCCTATCCTATCCATTATGCCTTGTGACAGAGCTGGAAAAACTTCCAGAAAAGACTAATCGAGAAGTTATTAATAATGAGACAAGTTTTTAGAAAAAAGTTTGATTAGAAAAAATGAATAATAATGAACAAATAAAAGAAGTGCTAGGTAAGGATGTTGGCATAATATTACCTAATTAGATCAATGGACAAAGAAATGGATAAAAAGAAATGGCAAATGTAAGGAATTGATGAAATATTAAGGAACTGTAGTACAGAAGAAAAGGGAAGAAGATAAGAAGGTAAAGAAGGGGACTACAAGTAAAATTTATAGTTTATTATTAGAAATAGAAGAATAGGAGGGCTTACCTAAAATAATAGGGGTATTTGACATAGGATAATACGTTGTAATGCTTGGAAAAAAATACATGGAACACCAGACTATTGAAATGTCAACCTGGATAAAAGATAATTTTTATAAATTAGTGTGAAAATGGTACTTGACTCCAGAGAAACTTAATCAAATACTTGATACATATTCTAAGATGTACTGGAGAGGGTACCAAAAATTAGGCACTTAATTCCATATGTGGTGGGAATGTTAATACAGTACATATATGAATTTTTGCAATCAATTTTTAAAGAAATATATATATAATATCCAATTTAAATTGGTCGAGGGCTAACAGCCTGAAATTGAATCCTGATAAAACAGAAAGCATGCTTTGCTCCATGGGGTCATGAAGAGTCGGACATGACTTAACGACTAAACAACAACAACAATTTGCCACACCAAACCTCCAATTTTACCCACAACCCTTTGGTCTGAGCATGAAATTGCTGGGGTGGGGGTTTATAAACATTAATCAGGAATAATATACAGTATATAAATTAAATTTCAGAATTGTAGCAGTGGCCAACTGACGGACAGGATCAAGGTTAAGGAGAGAAGCTTGTAGCTTAGTTGATATAAATATGCCCAAATTGCCCTTAAGCCAACCACCTCTTTTGCTGGGAACTACTTTGAGAGAATGTGTCATATAACAGGCCAGTATCATATCCTTTTGTGTCTGTGCCTCCTGAAATAGTAAGATATCAAAACTGGCCTAATATGTTTTAAAAGTAATGTCCCAAGCTTTGGTTGACCATCCCACTATGTTCCAGGACAATAACATAAGTGCAGGTATTTCTTGAGAGAGAGAAGATTGAACAACACAAGTTGAAGGGAGATATTTGATGCTTAGATCACTTGGATGATTAATAGCATTGTCTAACTGGATCGACTGTTGTTCCATCTGGCATTTATATAAAGACTGCTGTGGGAGAGCACACTGATGGTAATATGTGTCTCTTAATTTCATTGGTGTGATGTTTTAAAAGCTTTTATATCCTTCAATGCTGCTGGCTAACTTAGAATTTCTTTATTAACTTTAATGTCTTTAAAAGAGCCAGACGGTGCACTGTTGGTGACATGTGTTGTCCAATGTCTTTTTGTATGCTTTTTTTATCTTCCTGGTCATTGACCTAAATGAATGAATGAATGAATGAATGAATGAATGAATGAATATGCATCAATTCCAGCAGATGTAACTAACAGATTTCTAGCCACTGCATTTCACTGCCAAAGAAATACATTTTCTATCTGCTCAGAACAATTCCAGCAGATGTAACTAACAGCATTTCACTGTCAAAGAAATACATTTTCTATCTGCTCAGAAACAAACATTTATTAACAAAACTAAAGATAGCTAAAGATCACATACATTTCATGCAAGTATTGATTTAAAAAATAATTGGAAATAATTTTAAAGGGATAAGTCATTTAAAAACAATGTATTAAACAATTTGTTAGTACAATTGTTTGATCCTATAGTTGACTATGATATTTGAGATCTAAATGCTATAAGATTGGATAAATGATATAATATGGATAAGTTATATAATGAAGAGGTAAGTAGCTTGCATGAGCAACTGTTCTTATTTTATTTCTGTAGTACATTTGCATGAAGCCGGGCATTGCTTCATTAGAGGAATGTCACACCCATATAATTTCTTCATTTCAGGACAATTGGTGTATACATCTTTATACTTGCATGGATTGGCTAAAAATGAAAAAGAAAAAAGAAAAGGAAGAAAACAAAATACAGTTGTCATATAATGTATGTTGTATGAAAACAAAACATTACAAAAGCATCTCCAAAGGAGTCCATGGCATGAGATCAAAGGCCCACCATGTTCATCATCCTGTTTTCCCCAATAGCAAAGTGCACAACCAAGGCATGAGAGCTACACTTTCTTAGAGGAACGCAGCTCTGAACGTTCTGAAATATTAGCACTCCTTTTACATTTTTATCATTGATTATAATTATGGCAACTCTGAACACAAGAGTACTCTGCATTTTTGATGTGTGACCAGGACCACCACTTTCCTTGGCTTTAAAAGGCCACGTGCCCAATGCCTGTGGTGATCCTGCCAAAACATTTTAATTAATGAGAAGTAGAGAACCCACTCTTAAACATTTGCAGCAGTGAATTCTAAGAGGCCATGCGAATAAGAAGTAGAGAACCCACTCTTTTGCAGCAGTGAATTCTAAGAGGCCATGCCAAATCATCAACTGCTTAGAATTGTGTGTTTCTCCAGTCTTCTCCAATGCTCTGGGTTTCTCTGGCAGAAGCTCATGGGGTCTTGACAGCCAAATAAATGAGCAAAAGATTGAATGTAGAATATTTTGGAAACCAAAACCCCATAATAACAGTTCATGCCAGATGTGGCTTGTGGACTTTGGGGATAACAGCTCACTCTAAGTGTGTAGAGGTTAGTTGGATGGTGCTACAAGTGTTTTAATTTGCACACAGTGGCTAATAAAGTAAAGGTTTCCCTTGACAAATGTCCAGTCGTGTCCGACTCTAGTGGGCAGTGCTCATCCCCATTTCCAAGCCGCAGAGCCAGCGTTTGTCTGTAGATAGTTTCGGTGGTGACGTGGACAGCATTACTAGACACAGAACACTGTTACCTTCCCATTGTGGTGGTACCTATTTATCTACTTGCATTTTTTACATGCTTTCGAACTGCTAGGTTGGCAGGAGCTGGGACAAGTGTCACATGGATTCAAACTGCTGATCTTTCAACCTTGCTGCCCACAGGCTTTGCAGTTTAACCCTTAGCACCACCAAACTCCCACAAAGTGGCTAATATCCAATAGTAAATCCCAACTAGAGAAGACCCATTGAATCAATGGGGATTTGATGACAACTCCTTTGTAAACTCTATTGATTCAATGGGCCTACTTCACTTCTGGATTTCAGGCAATATTTATTAATATATAAATATTATTTATTATGTACTTTTTAAAAATCTTGCCTTTCTTCCATTGCAGGTACCCAAGGCAGCTTACGAAAAGGTTAACATGTCAATATGAGAAGAATGAGCTAATGCAACAGCTGTGCTAAAACGTAAACAATTTTGAAGCAGTTTATTTTAAACGTAAGGGTAAAAACAACAGCACCTGTCATTAGAAGCCCTTCCTCAGTGATCTGTTCATTTCTCAAAAGTCCCTATGAAAATAATTATGTTTGGTTTTTTTGTTTCCTGATAGTTCATCTTCTTCTTTTTTTTGAGAAACAGGAGTTATTTTATATGTGGCTCCAGGCAAATACATAAAATATAGAATATGTAAAATGACTCATAAAAGAGATAAAGACAGTTGAAATATATATATGGGTAATGATCTATATACTGTACTGATGATAAACATATCAATAAAGACAAAAAGAAAAAAGAATGTAATAATAGCAAATATCACATCTGATTAACACTGTACCTCAAATATTTTCAAACTTACTGCACAATCCATTGTCACAGGCATTTGGGCAAGCTCCACATGGTTCTCCTTTTGTATAGGGAGTACTAATCTTGTCTTCACGGTTCCCTCTGGAATGTGAAACAGAAGTACAGAACATGCAGTGAGCCCTATATATAGGCATCCGGGGATGTATGTCAAGGGCTGGAAATTATCTATGGACAGATGACCTCATTAAAAAGCATCACATGCCCATTTTTTCATATCACTCAGAAGATTTAAAGGATAGAAAGAAAATCCTGCAACCAGCCTTTTATGTCCTTACTGGAAAGAGGAAGAGGGGAGAAGAGAAAGTTAGGAAAAAAGCTGTCGGTTTTTTGGTTCAGAAGAGGTGTTTTGGTTACCAGCCATCTCAGGCTAATGCTTTTGCTACTGAAGGTGGCTGGGAAGAGATTTTTTTGTTTGGTCACTTTACTTGCACTGATATCTCAGGTGATTTTTCTCTGAGCAAGCCTTCCCATGTCACACCATTGTTTATTCTGCTTTTTGCCCCAGCTGGCACATCTGCCTTGAGCAAGCATTCAGAGATTACAGGTTGTATGGTTTTGGAGCACCCTGAAAAAATAGCTTGGAGGGACCTTGTTAAGATATGATAAAATGTTCAGGGATTCTAGCAACAGTGAAAAGGTTTCAGTTGTGCAGCTAGTAGTTGAAAGAGAGTATTTCAGTCTCCATTAGCATTTGGTTAAAGCATTCGTCCTCCCAATTCCTAATCCAATGTAAGAGCTAAATTCTTTTATAAGCTGAAGCCAAATTTATAGAAGTATTGTGTTCAGTTGAAGTTTATTCCATTATATTCCAGGTTCTAATTTATTTCCCAGTGCCACTGTGAGTGCAAACGTATCTGCATTTTCCAGGCAAAGGGTCTTGACATTTCCTTAGTTTCCTGTTCACCCATCAGTGTCAGATGAGAAACTCGGTGAGACTGTATTATAGTCCCAGCATTCCTCCAGAAATTATAATGCATCAAGGCACACTTTATTGGAATGGGGGGGAAGGGAACTAACCCCAGGAACATCTTTACGGATTTCCAAAAGTGTCCTCTCCTTAAGTACAGCCTCTAAACCTCTGCTACTCAATGATAGTTTTGAATAAAGTAAAACACAGGGCAAAATGTGACACATGCAGCTGAACACATGAATGTGTGCTTGACATCTCCCCTCTCGAAAAATGTCCGCAATATTTAAGTTCTTGATTAGTTCAGGAAACCAGTATGCACAAGTATGATAATGCAGGCGGTGCTATAAAAAAAGTAGACGACCATTACTGAAAGAAGCAACTTCAAAGTCATGACATTGGTTTTGACTTTGGTTATGGTTTCTGAAAGGTGTTTCAAAAATCACTATTTTGCTATATTATTCATATGCTGTTCCAGTTAACCTCCTGGTACCAGGTGAAAAAGACCTCTCCGTTTGCTTGGCAGGTACAGTTCTGGCTTCCTGCCCTGGGGGATCACACCATGGAGGAATTATGTTCCTGTGCTAAAGCTGAGATACATGCATATCTGTATGTATGTATTGATTTAACTACGGGGAAATTTTCAAATACAATGTATTATATTCATATTGATTAAACATATACATGGCAGAAATATCCCAGATTTGGTTTCTTCTCTGTACTGCCCCTCCAGCAATTGCTGTATTGTAAAAAAATGATGTTAGTAGTCAACCCTATGAAAAAGTGCTTGGGTAGCAATTCTACAATATTTGCATGTCACAAGTGAAGACAAGAGACTTGCCAAAAAGCACTAAATATGTGAATGAATACATACGCAGGACAATACTGGCAAGCATAAAAATACTTGAAGACTGGTTGACCAGGACAAAAGGCAACAGCACATCCCACTTGGTAAGAATTATACCACACCACCTACGAGACACAAATGAACACAGACATGATTGCTCTGTAAACCGAAGCGCCTTCCCCAAAAGCAGCTTTCAGGCAACACAGGGAGTATTACTGCACACTCTTGCTAAGGACTAGGATATGTACTTGTATACATGGGTGCAAAACAATTTTCTGGCTTCAGGGAGTAGCAGGGCATGATTGGTTCAGTTATCAATCCAAATGGAGCCTGCAACAAAGAAATCAGATGCAGACCGAGACTCGGAAGGGCAGCAGTGAAGGAACTAGAAAATATCGTCAAGTGTAGAGATGTGTCACTGGAGACCAAGATTAAGAGCTTCCACACTCTTGTATTTCCAGTCACCATGTATGGGTGTGAATGCTGGAGAATAAAGAAAGCCGACAGGGGAAAAATGATTTGTTTGAAATGTGGTGCTTGAGGAAAGGTTTGTGGAAATCCTGGACTGCCAGAAAGACAAACTACTGGGTCGTAGATCAAATCAAGCCTGAACTATCTCTGGAGGCAAAAAAAAGTTGAAGCTGAGGCTGCCCAACTTCGGGCACATCATGAGAAGACAGGATTCTCTGGAAAAGACAAAACTGGGAGAGGTTAAAGGCATCAGGAAAAGAGGAAGAACACATATGAGGTGGATTGACTCCCTAAAGGAACTACAGGCTTGAGTTTAGAGGTGCTAAGCAGGGCTGTTGAGGACATTTGGAGGATCACTTATTCATGGGGTCACCATAAGTCATTATGCAACAGAACAGGAAGGACTGTGGAGCTTTCTGGTGAAATATGGAAGAACTTTTTTCCTCAATTAACTCTGGTTCTTTCTGCCAGAGGACAGGCTGATATCAATGCAGTAGAGCTGGGCTCTCAACTTGCCAGTTTGCTGAAATGATGCTGAAATGATTACTGGTCTATCACTTTAGATTGTAGTCTACATAGCAGAGTGCTCCTGTTCAGAGGAGACCAAATCTTGCCCTGTAGAGCAGGGGTGCCCAATCCCCGGCCCGCGACCCAATGCCGGTCTGTGGGCTTTCTTGAACTGGGCCGCAGATGCAGATCTCCGCTCCCTGCACACAAGCACGGTGGGCGAGTTGCACTTGCAGAGGGGTGTGTCATGCTCGCGGATTGGTGTGTTGTGTGTGCCGAGGGGCATGTTGCACTTGTGTGCATGCGCACAAGAATGACATGCCTCTCCACAAGCGTGACACGCCAACCCTCAAGCATAATACACCCTCCATGAACGCAACACGCCCGCCCGTGAGTGTGACACATCCACCCATGGGCGCAGGGGTGCCTCTGCCCCCTGCTCATCGAGCCCTCACCTCTCAACCGGTCTGCAGTCCCCAAAAGGTTGGGGACCACTGCTGTAGAGTATATTTGAATGACACCATGTAACGAAAGATAATTTATTGGCTACTAGAGAGAAGGATAGGAATAGCAGAACTGCCATTATTAAAGGAGGTTGTCTGGGAATGTTCCATCTACCTTACTCGGACCAGACAAGTACTAGGTGCAACCGTTTTTCAAGAAACTTAGCTGTGCTCCTGTTTAAAAAAAAGATGGGGGGACAAATTTGCTTCATCCAGTTTAATTGTACCTGTGTGTAAACACGAATCTTTGTATTTGTTGATGTTGCTGCAGAACCATACTCAAAGGTTTTTCCTTCATCATACCATTTCTGAATGACTTGGGACCATGAGAGTATTATACTTGACATGAAGATATTTTCACCACAGCCCACGCCATCTGGAATTAGAAAGAGAATTATTCACACAAATGTGAATGCTTGGCTACTTCTTAGGGCTGGAACTTTCAGAAATGTTTATATCTGAGTCCTCGCAATTCACCAGAAATTCCCCCAGCATGAATTGCGGGAACTGTTGCCAAAAAACAAAACAAAATAGAACAAAAAAAACAAAAAACAAACAAAAAACCAAATAAAAAACACAACCACAACAATCAGTTTTTTAATTTCTCACACATAGAGAATGAAACCTCAGTTGGAACCATTACATTCCTGTGAAGAAGAAAATGGGCTGTGTGTGGATGTAACCAAGCTCCATGAGAGCTGCAAGAAATTAGAAACTGGTTGTTTTTATGCCCATTGTGCTCTGTACAAGGTTTCTTTTTTTAAAAAAAGTCTCCTAATCCCTTTTAGCTCCCATGGAATTTAGCTACTCCTACTCCTCTGAAGACTAAAATTTTTTTGGCAGCAGCTCCCAGAATTCTTGGTGAATTCAAGGGGATGAAGCCCGAATAATGCAGAAGTCTTGTGCCTACTGCTTCTACTATTGGGGACAACTGAATCATGGAATGTTGCAGGTGTGACTTGAAGGAGGGAAAAAAAGGAAAATTGAATGGGTAGAAGGAAAGTGCTTGTTAGGGCCCTAAACATGAGCCTGTTTGTGTATTGGGGGGGGGGGCTGTGGCATTGCTGCAAAAGGAAAGCAACTTGCATAGCCCTCCAGAGTTTCACCAGTATCCTGCCTGGGGGAGCATTTTCTGCAGCCTGATAAAATGATGCACACTGTGTGGTATCTTTTGGCAAGTGACTTGCAAACTTTAAGGCAAGAGTGGGGATTTTTGGATGCCTGAAAACCAGTTTAAGGCTTTTGAATTGGTGAAGTAGGGTGTTGTTGAAAGAATGGCCACCTCAGAATCCTAATGCTTCCCTATTCCTTCTCATCTGTACTTACTGCCATCTACCATCCCATGTCTATAACCACAACTACAATCCGTCCCACAAAGTATAATAATTGGAGAGCTCTTGGTAAAATGTGCCTCAATTTTAAAAAGTGTCTTAGGGCTTAACTACATTATTGATTAACCCCATCTTATGTGTAGGAATTTTTCGCTGCGTTCTAAAATCATTTGACAGTCACATGGCATATGAACCACTCTCTGCATGTCCTTCAGATAGTGGTTAATGCATTACATTTTTATACTGCTCCCCCTGGGAAAACTTTTAATATGTTTTAAAGTTATGCTGTATCTCAGTTGAGGTGGGCTATATTGGCTTTTAAAACCATTTCATTTGAGGCTTGCCCCCTCTGCCCTCATGCTGGTCACTCACACCAACTGCTGTGGGAGAGAGAGAGAGAGAGAGAGAGAGGAGACAAAACTGCTTGTCCCTTTAGAAAGCTTTTGCTCCCCTTGGGAAAACTTTTAATATGTTTTAAAGTTATGCTGTATCTCAGTTGAGGTGGGCTATATTGGCTTTTAAAACCATTTCATTTGAGGCTTGCCCCCTCTGCCCTCATGCTGGTCACTCACACCAACTGCTGTGGGAGAGAGAGAGAGAGAGAGAGAGAGGAGACAAAACTGCTTGTCCCTTTAGAAAGCTTGGCTGCTTCTGTCCCTTTAAGAAGGCTCCAGCCATCCCCACAGAATGCCAGACAGAAATGAGCGGTGCCTGGTGTAAAAACACTGACCCAATCATGGATCCTCCTGAATCCCCATGACTTTTACATGGGATCTGACCCCAAACACGGTCAAATCAGAAGTCCCATTTGTATCCACTGAATACAACACAGATAAGAGAGATGGGGCTCAGAGGTGAGCAAGAGAGCAAAGCAGGGGGGATTGGGCAGAGAAGGTGAGTGAGGTGACAGGGAGGCAAGGAGCAGGGCGGCAGAATGTGATCAGGCAGGGAGCAATTTATGGTGGAAGACGAGGGCACATTGGACAATTCGAAGCATTATACCGCAACTCAAGCCCTAAGCTAAAATAAACCATCCTGCCAGGAGGAGGTTTAATGACGTGCTTCCAAACAGAATAACACAAATTGGGGGGGGGGGGGGGGGGATTTGGTGGGTTCTTNATCAACTTTTTATAACATCGATGCAAATGCAGCTAAATGCGGTTCAAATACCAGTTCTTTTACCAATATAATCATGACCTTACTCCCAGTCAGTTTTAGTCCCTCTGGTTTCTACCATCCATTTATTTTAGTTTTAGAATGAATTGTAAGACATCTATAAGAGACACCAGCACTTCATGGAATATTAGACAGTCATATATTAACATGAAACATAATTGTGAAGATTCTCAGTCATGCAAGTGAGCTTATTTGGAAGTTGAGTCATGGCAACTAGACTAAGTGGAGGACATATCAGGGACTTCCTACTGACTCTCCTCAGACTGAAGAAGTATAGCAAAACATTTCAGCCTAACAAGAAAGAAATCCCATTCCCATGACTCAAGTTCCAGATTAACATGGAACATTTTAACTCTTTCAGCTGAACTCTAGCTTATACAGTGTACGTGAATTTATACTTTTTGAACATAATTCTTTTACTTACTTAGTTTTCTGCTTTCCGGTGGACTTGATTTTAACAAACATTGGTTTACCCAGCTCTGTGCATGGCTTGCTGCTTCAGAGTTCCATTCCTAAGGGTCACAGAGAAAGGTAGTGGAATTTATAAAGAACATTGTAGATATGAACAAAAAACAATAATTGTAAATGTATTTGTGACATCTATGAATGAGAGCATTACTGTCTCACAAGACTATGGGCATTGTAACATTTCATTGGACGGTGGTTAAAAAAAATCACAGCAGAAATGAGTTAGTCTTTAATATAAACATTTATAACACATTCACACACACACACATCCAAAATATCTTCTAAGTGGAACCGTGCTCTTGATTCTCCCTTCTCACTGCAGTCCTCTGGGCTCCCTAAATCAGGGTGTTGACACGGGAGACTGTGGCAAGGAAGGAGAATTCTGCAAAATGTGACTCCTGGTCCCACTTTGGCTTGTTAGAGTTCCATGTCATTATATTTACAAAGCTAATTTCAACATAATGCTAGCAATGTTTTAAAATAAAAATGCAGAAATAATAATGTCTACCATATCAATAATAAAATATTATTATGTAGAAACACATGTTGTGCTTACTTTTCTTGATCTTTAGTTTTTGAAATTGCTGAATGGTTTATGAAAGCTTTTTTTAAAAAAAGCAATACTTCTTTTCCTTCTTTTGTAATCAAGCAGCACAGGAGTAAACAAACTATTTGACCAACACTGACAAGGCAGCTAATTTAAAAAGGCAAAGGAAATATTTAGAAATGATTCTATTTAGCCAAAAAGCTAACATAAACCAGGGAGAATGCATTACACTGTTGACCAGCAAAAAATAAAAATAAAGAAGAAGCTGTGTAGTCCTTATTCAGAAGTTAAAAAAAGGAGGGTAGTGCCTTTATTAAATCATTACAATATAAACAAGCAAAATCTGAGGCCTGTAATTCTCGAAAAGCTGCCTGTTTCTGATATACTAATAGCCTAATAAAGATATTATCAATAGCTGGTTTTTGATATGTTCATGACAAATGGCATGGGTGGTCACAAGTACTGAACATGTTTCTATTACAGGTTGGTTCCCTGAGACAGAAAAGTCTGTTTGCACTTTATTGAATTAAAACTACAAAATGCTCATGCTTTTAATAGGCCTACATAAAATTCCTTTTAATTTTCTTAGAATGCCTCTTACCATCTTGAGCATGTCGCTGGCAGGTGGCTGCACCGCTCTCCTCAGGCTGTTGTGCTTGTCCACAATCTCCTGCTGCTGGTTGGCATTGGTGGTCATGTAAGGATCAAGATCTGAGGCCTTCAGGTAAATAAGAGGTTTGTACAATTATGTGATTGTGCTGACCCACTTATACAGAATTAAAGATATCAAACATTGGATAATGTTTGCTACTAAAATTTGCTTATAAGACCGAGTCCGTAGGTACCACAAACTATATTCCAAATCAGAGCTTCTGTTTGGAAAAGCTACTGGAAGGATGTTTGCACAGATCATCAACATGGTCCACTTCTGAGAACTAAGCTGAGACCTTGAGGAATTTTGAAGATGGGCTGTGAGGGTGGTTACCCTTTTCCTGGCAAGATTTCCATGGATTTGATTGATAGAGGTGGGCTTAAGCAAAACCTTTGGAAACCGCAGAAGTCAAGTTTGAATCAGCCTTCTGATGCAACTAATACAAACTCAGGAATGTCTTACCTGAATGCTAGGATGCAGCAGCAACAGTGCAATGAGACCCACACATGGACTGAACATGGCCATTGCTGAAAAGCAAAAGCAAAATAAAATCGAGTCTTACTTGTTACTCCTGACTACTATATATAGCTACATTTTTAAAGCATGTGAAATAGTTGACATGTTCCATCTGGTTTGTGCTGGACATGCCTTAATGACCGTAGTTTTTTCTCCTGCTTTCTCTTCCTCTTTCAGCCTCTCCCTAATCATATGTGGCCCTAAGCTATAGTATTGTTTGTAAGTCAAGCCTTGCAAAGTTGTTTTCAGATGCTACTGTGGTGAATATATTTTGCATCAGAATGTCCAGAGAGAAACTAAGAAATGGGAGATGTGGAGAATTCCCCAGAGTTTAATGTTTCCAGATCAGCAGCATTCAATTCCTTGAAATTTCAAGGCCCTGAACGGGCAGGTCCTTGTGATATCAGAGAGCTAATGCAGGCAAGGATTGTGAGGGAGGCCAAAATTGCTTCTGGGCCAACTGTTTGTGGAGTCAACACAAGGAAGATCTGGATAAATCTCAGCTGACAGATAACTGGGCAACCCATCACCAAGGGCCCAGTGCTCCTCAGTATTTTTATTAATGACTTGGATGAGGGATTGCAGGGAATGCTTGTCAGATTTGCAGATCATACCAAACTGGGCGGAATAGCTAATACTGTAATGCATATGACATGAATGGGTTTGCCAAGCTCTGTCCTGCTGCTGCTGGTGGGGTGTGTGTTGTGGAAAGCTCATCACAAACTCAGGGAGAGCCTTTCCCTCTTGATGCTCTCAGGGCTTATGCTGCAAAAAGTCTCATGAGTTCCAACTCTGACCTTGCTGCAAATTTTACAATGAGGCTTAGTACATGCACCTACGGACTCTTCCCCCAGTTCCTTCTCCTTATTTTCGGCTTTTTGGTACACCAACATTTCATGAGCACAATGCATACAAAAATACACGAACCTGATACAATTTGGGACATGGTAGAGAAGTGTCCAGCCTTTAAAACACCTTATAGAGAAAAATCAAATGTTATTTCCTGGCACTGTTTGCCCTGGATTTTTCCTCTCTCATAGCAGTTCCATAGGACTCTAGACACTGGCCAGAAACCTAACTGTCTTACCAGAGCAGCTCGAAAAACATGAAGTCCCTTTGTGAAGACCCTCCCTGTCCCATCGAGAATATGGGAAAGTACCTTACTGGGGATTATAGAAATTTGAGTAGTGATTAGCCATGATTGGTCTTTGTTCAGCTGGAAACTTGGGCTTCTAACATTGTAGTTGTATGGACACTTCCACTGAACAAAGTAGATATATTCACAGATTAAGCTTCTGTGGTCTGTTCTCCATAGATAAAGCTTGCCCCTTTAAAAACAATGAGACAGAATTCCACCCCCCCATGATGTATTCCTATGCATATTTATTTAGAGATAAGAACTTAGCAGAAGATGGAAATGCCATGTTAATTGACTGCTGACTGTTATTCTGAAATCTTTGAAGACCTGACTCTACCATGGTGGTGTTTCAGGCAGCTGAGTTGGAGTGTCATGAAGGATGGTTAGTTTGGTATTGCCAGATTTTTACTGTTAAAGATGGGGATATTTCCCATGGGACCTTCTTTAGATGCCAAAATAATTTGATTGGCTTTAGTTGCTATGTGCCTTTTGAGGGCACTGTTTGTTGCACTGCTTCAGGTAGCAGAATGTCTTGAGCTGAGCCTGAAAGCATACTGCGTCTCTGATCCCCCCCCCCAATAAAAGAACTTTCTGTTGCTTTAGTACTGTGGGTTGAATGAAAAGTACTCATGGTCTAATAGCCATTTCCTAGATCAGGTTTAATATTGTTGTTTTGGTAAACCTATACATGTTGACCATGCTGTCAACATCAAAGTGGTGTAGAGGGCAAATTGGGAAAGCAACGCCACCTTCGGGTCTGCTGCGGAGTCAGCTTTGTGACACTGCCTTTATGGAAGATTCCTCCAGCAATAGTTCAATCAGGCTGTAGAAGAGAGGCAGATGGGAAGCAGGGCCACTAGTTCTCTCAAGGCTTCCATGGGTCCTTTGCTGTTTGAACTGTTTTCTGTCCCAGCAGTTCAGGAAAACCAGCAATGGGCATTTTTAGAACAGGTTTTCATTGTGTTCTTCTTCTTCACTGCCTGCTTTAATCCTCCTGATCAACCAAATCTTGTGTTGATCCCATTGTCAGCTCATGGTAATCCCAGTACTGATCCCATTCTTTGCTTGGCCTCAGATATTTCAGTACCATCACTAATCTGACCATAGTTCCAATAAGAGATAGGGTGTTGAACATTCATACAGGTACAGTGTATAGCTTTTGGAGGTAGTTTTTAAAGTCATGCCACTTCTCTTATGGCTTGATGCACCTAAACTGTTTGATTACCAGAATAGTTTAGCATCTGTGTAGCAATGTTTGCTGAGCAAACAACATTTTGTGATATTTTCTTGCCAGGGTGAAAATGTGCAACATATTTCACTCCTTAAATGAAAGAAGAGAACAGAGAAACAGGACTTCAAGAAAGAATAAGAGATGTTCCACACTTAGGGTGGGAGTGAACCACAGAAAAACATGATATTGAGAGGAGGGGGGGAATGTTAGAAAAATTAGAAAATATCTCGGAAGCATGGAAAACTGAAGTGGGAGTAGAAAAGACAGTAGGTGTGGGATTCAAACTAACATTCACGAAGAAATGAACATTTTGATAGAAAAGGAACAAGTATGTTGGCAAGTGGTTGTTGTGGGTTTTTTGGGTTCTTTGGCCGGTTCTGAAGGCTGTTCTTCGTAACGTTGCCCCAGTATCTATGGCCGGCATCTTCAGAGGATTGGAGTAGGAACTCTGTCCATGATCTGTTGCTGTTTGTTGAATAGTTGAGTATTTATAGCTGTGGGAAAAGCTTTTGTCTTTTTTCTGGAGATAGGGTGATCAGCATGTTTTTGTTGTGATAAGGGGGGGAGAGATTATCTGTCACTGTGATTGATGGGTGTCATTAGCTGGTCTTTTTTGTGCACTGTGATTGATGGGTGGCCCTTAGTCTTGCATTTGGTAGCGCGGAGGGAGGAAGAGTTAAACCCTTCCAAGGATACATCATAAATCAACCAAGTTTCCTGGAGGAGTATGATCTCTTGCTCCAATAAGAGCCCTCTGATCTCAGGGTCATGAATTTCTGCAGCCCATCTTGCTGCATTCCAAGAAAGAAACCTTAAGGGGTGGGAATTGTTCCTGAAGGGGGGCATATGCTGGGTTTCAGACCAACTGAATGATGCAATTGGAAGGTTAAACCACCACTTCACTGAGAGGGGTCATCCCCATCACTGAGGTTGAGATCGTGGCACCCTGTTCATTCAATGTGCAATGGAATAATTCTGGCAGGGTGAACTTTAGGTGTAGCCCAGTTCAAGCTGGGAAGTTCTTGTGCTGCTGCTGGAGTTTCTCCAGGAGGGACCTCCAGATGTGGAAGGCTTTGGGCTATGGTAATTACTTGGTTGCAAGGGACAGTGGAGCAAGGCATGATTCCCACTTCATGTTGATCTGTTGAATGTGTGCCCAAGATGCCCTTACTACTCTTTTTATGGGACAGGAGAGCTTTCTCCAAGTTGGCAGTTTGGGCTGACATTTGGGTAAATCTTTCCTCATCTTGAGAGAGATCGATACGAGTGTCACTAGGCACTGAGCATTTTGTATGCCTGCACAAGCTGGCCAATTCTGGAGTAGCTGTTAAGATTGCCACTCATATTACAGTATTATCAGTGGATGTGGAAGGTGAAGGCAACTTCCCTGGTCAGGAAGGGCAGGGAGGCAAGAGAGGTGTAGGAACCACCTCATGAAAATATCTTTTAGGTCTTATGTAGAAGGTAGACAGGTAATTGGTCATCTTGGGAACACCATTGGGATTACCGGGCTAAAGAATTTTAGTAGCAACCTTGTTTGTGCCCAGGGAACAGGCAGCCTCTCATATTCCTCCAAGTCAATATAGCATTGGTCCATGTGAAGAAGGCAGCTGAGAGAATGTATAATCTGCATTCTACTCCATCATCTCCCCTGTTTCACTGGAGCGTTCGCAATTTCTAGACAGAGCTGTCTCAACTGAAGGGTATGCATCACCGGCTCATATGCTTTAACTGAAGTGCTTCCAAGATGTAAAGGAGAGAGCTCCTTAGAATATGTTGGGATTGCTTTGGATCTGGAGTTGGAGCTGGGGGTGCCTCTAATGGTATGATGCTCTACAGGACACAATGCTGGCTGCCCATTTAATGCAAGTCGATCAGCAAGATGATCTAGCTTTTAGAATATTGTCATCACTGCTTTGCTTGTAAGCATGACATATTCACCCAGGAGTTCAAGAAGCTGAGTAGTGGAAAAGTGCTCTTGCTCTGGGGTTGAGAATGCTGTGTCATCTGGAAATGCTCCCGGACAATCCTGGGGGCCCTGTAGAGAGGAAAACATGTCACGCTCCATCTGAGGGTTTGGAGGTAGTGATGATGTAGATCCTGCAGTGACACTTCTGAAAGGACCAACAAGTAAATTGCTTGTTGAGACACACCCATCCTCACACATTGATGGATCAGGTAGATCAGGTAGATCTGGGACCGGTTGAAAGTCCATCAGGGCAGGTTCCCCAGGAATTGGGGACCTATCCAGGCACCTACCCAGGGACCCATCCAGACACTGCTTTGGGCCAGTTGCCACGGATGGGTCTGACAAGTTGGAGTCATTGGTCAAAGAGCCGAGCTTCATATCCTTCAAAGCCTCTTCAATACGGAGCTGTTTTGAGGGCTTAAGTGAGGGGGAATCTCCCGAAAAAGCTCATTGTCATAGGGTTAATTACAGTCAGGGAGACTGAGTAGAGTAAGTTCAAAGTAAAGTAAGTTCAGAGTAAAAGCTCAAAACAGAAGAGTGAGCGTAGAGCTTGAGTTGGTTACCAGCCAACAGTCATCATTATGTTTGCTTATGTTCTCTTTACTTCCTCATGTAGCTCCTTTAAGAGGTGCAATCTTCAGGATAAGCTGCCGTCAACTCCCTTAGAAGGT